CCCTGGCGAGGGCTGCCGCCCCCCTCCCGCGCCGCTTCGTGCGCGACGCAAGCAGCCCCAGCTGCTTCCGCGAGCCCTCCGGCGACCCTGCCGAGAAGAACTCGGCGCGCGGCGCCCGCATGAGCAGGAGGTCCTCGTGGCGCGTGGCGCGCGAGAGAAGCCCGTGAAGCTCCAGCCACCTGTCGTCGTCGTCGTCGTCCTTCTTCTTCTTGCCGTCCCCGATCTCGTGGCGGCCGCAGTCTTAGACTGCGGCCGCCACGAGCTAGGGCGACGTCGGCCGAAGGGGCAGGCGGGGCAGCCGACGGCCCACGGCGAGTCCGCAGAACCGAAAAAAGGTCTGGCTGCGGATCGCTCGTGCCCAGGAGGTTCGGCCGTGGACTGCCCAGGGGGCGCTGTTCCCCCGCCCCGTCGCCTTCTCGCGTGGTGCGCCCCTGGCGCGCCACCGCGGTGATGGCCCTGCCGTGCGAGAGCGGGTTGCCGGCCCGGGTGACCTCGGAGGTGCGGAATGTGAACGGCTCCGACGTGCGGGACTCGATGAACACCAGCGGGCCCGTCAGGTGCACCGTGAGGGTGTCGGGCGCGCCCGCGTACTTCTCCATGCAGACCCAGAACCCCAGCGGCAAGTGATTTAGATAGATCCTCTTCTCCCCGTCTCTCTCAGCAATGTCGACGTCGCCCCGATCTCGAGGGCCCGCGACGATGTGCACGATCTGCCCCTCGGCATCCTTGACGAAGCCGCTTTTGAAGTCCGGCGCCTCCAGGAGCCGCATCCGCATGTCCACGTGCACCCGGGGCAGTCCGTGCATGCCACCGATGTTCTCCGGGCTGGCACAGTTCATCATCTTGGCGGCGTCCTTGACGTTCATCGTCGGCGGCCTGCACGAGGAAGAAGGGCTTCTTCAGGACGTGCGCGTCCCGCGGGGCACGCGTGTTCATCCACCGCGCCACGGTGCCCCAATAGGACCCAATCGTGTGGCCGTTCAGGAACCGTTCCTCGCAACCGCGGGCGGCGCAATTGGATCCTTCGGTGGAACCGGCCGCGGGGTGTGCCGCAATGGGTGTGAGTGACCCATGCGGGCTGCGCCACTGGGACCTCCGGTGGAGCTCCCTATGGGGCCACGAAACGTGTGAGGGGTGTGCCGCAATGGGTGTGTGTGTGTGTGTGTGTGTGACGCATGCGGGCTGCGCCACTGGGACCTCCGGTGGAGCTCCCATATGGAGCCATGAAACGTGTGAGGGTGTGCCGCAATGGGTGTGCGTGACGCATGCGAGCTGCGCCACTGGGACCGTCGGTGGAACTCCCATATGGAGCCACGAAACGTGTGAGGGGTGTGCCGCAATGGGTGTGCGTGACGCATGCGGGCTGCGCCACTGGGACCTTCGGCGAAGCTCCCTATAGGGCCACGAAACGTTTGAGGGGTGTGCCGCAATGGGTGTGCGTGACGCATGCGGGCTGCGCCACGGGGGCGGTCGGTAGAGTTCCCTACGGGGCCACGAAACGTGAGAGGGGTGTGCCGAAATGGGTGTGCGTGACGCATGCGGGTTGCGCCACTGCGACTTTCGGCGGAGCTCCCTACGGGGCCACGAAACGTGTGAGAGGGGTGTGCCGAAATAGGTGTGCGTGACGCATGCGGGCTGCGCCGCTGGGGCTTTCCGTGGAGCTCCCTATGGGGCCACGATCATCGTGAAGGGTGCACCGACGATGATGATGATGATGATGATGATGATGACGATGATGATGATGATGATGGTGAGGGAGAGGAAAAGGATGATGATGCTGACGGTAACGATGGTGACGACGATGATGGTGATGATGGTCGTGATGACGATGATGCTGATTACGATATCGATGATGATGATGATGATGATCATGATGATGATGATGATGATGCTGCTGAAAAGAGGAGGGGGAGGATAGGAGTGACGCGGGGCGCCGTTCCTCAAAACAGGACCCAACACCACAGGATGGTTGGGACAAATCCCTTTGGAATCCTCCAGGATCCCGCAGGAATCCTTCAGGAATTCTCCGGAAATGATCAGGCATCTTTTCTTGACGAAGGAACAACACGTACCCATACCCATAGGAAGGTCGGAGGGAAGAGAATTGGCTATGGGTATGGGTGCGGATTGTCGGACCCTGGGGAACGCTCCCGTTCGAGCGGGGACCCCCATCCGACAGCACGCACCCATAGCCCTCTCCGACCCCCATATGGGTATGGGTGTGTGGTGTCGGTTCGTCATTTTTCGGGCATCCTGCAAGGATCCTCAGGAGCCCATCAAGAAGTGGTAAAGGAACCCACAAAAATCCCGCGCAAAGCCGAGGATGCGCCTTCAAAGACGCGCCCATCAGGCGGCTCTCGAGCGCCTTTGTAGCGCCTACCAAGCGCGTCAAGCGCTTACAAGCTCGAATGAGAACGGTCGGGGTCGGGGGTGGGTGGGGGGGGGGAGTACGGGGGCCAGGGGGGAATGTGGGAGGATAGTGAGGGTAGGGGGGGAGATGGGGTAGGTGGGGGTAGGGGAGGGTATGGGGGGGAGGGGGGGGTATGGGGGAGGTAGGGAAGGGTACAAAGGTATAAAGGGGGATATGGGGGGGGGGTAGCGGGGGTAGGGGGGGCAGGGGAGGAGGGTATGGCGGGGTAGGGGGCGGGTCGAGTTAGCCAGCTCGGGCGAACCAGAGGGCTCCGTCCACTCCCACCCGACCCCCTACAACATAAGAAGCAAGTGCGTCGCGTCCGACGCCTGTCGCTCATCTTATATCTCGGGCGTCTAGACGTTCATCGCGCGACATGAATTGCGTCCTTTTCCTGCCACGTATTGAACAACGTCAGCGAGAAACGAAACCGCGCGCGATGTACGCCGCGCCCCGCTCCAGTTTGTCATGTTGCATCGTCGGCGACAACATGTCCAGCGCGCGAAGCGCGCCGCGTCTCACTCCAGCCACGCGCGTTGCACCGCCAATCGATTCGTTCCTGCCGCGCGTGGAGGAGGGGGAGGAAGAGGAGGAGGAGGAGGAGGAGGAGGAGGAGGAGGAGGAGGAGGAGGAGGAGGAGGAGGAGGAGGAGGAGGGGGAAGGAGAGAGGGAGGGAAGGAGAAACTGAGGAGGAGGAGGAGGAGGAGGAGGAGGAGGAGGAGGATAATGCCCCTTGGGAATATGCGGGGCGTCCTGGGAGTTTTCTGGTCTACGCCTGAGGGCCTCTTGGATATATTTTCCGGGTTGGATCATTGTCAAAACAAGTAGGTGCTAACCTCACACCCCTTCCAACATCACATGAAAATCAATATTTGGGGTAGCCCCCCCCCTACGACCTCCTGGACGCCTTTTTTTGACCTCTTGGGGGTTTCCTGGATCACTCGCTTGAACCGCATTTGCTTGAGGCATTACGACTTGCCGCCCGCCCAGCTCCTCAACCCGACGGGCCGCAGCGTCGACGACAAGAAAACCCATGTTGACGAGAGGGCGTCCCCGCGCCATGTGCGCCGCGTCCTATTCCCGCTGCGCGATTCGCAGCGCTGACGAAGAGAAAGTACATGTTGGCAAGAAAAACGTAGACGTTGCTGTTTTTTTTGGACAGGTAGGACGGGGGTCCCGCGTAGGGTTGGCCAGGCGTCCGCGCGCGATGTGCGCCGCGTCCCATTCCTGCTACACTTTTCGCAGCGTCGACGACAAGAAAGTCCATGTTGACGAGAAAAACGTTGACTTTGTATTGTTTTTTGATGGATCGGACGCGACCGCCCGCTCAGGGTTACCCAAGCGATGTTCACTCCGTCAAATTCCGGTTATACTTTTCGCAACTCGACGACATGATGGCGAGAATGAAATTGCATTTGTGTTGTTGTTGGACAGTTCGGACGGCGGGGTTGCCATCGGCCGGCTAGGTGGGGATGTGTGGGGGGGTGTACTCAAAGGAAGTAAGGGTAAGGGCGGGTAGGGAAGGGGGGGGGCTGGGGGCGGGGAGGGCGGAGCACGGTGGGGTAGGGAGGGATAGGGGAGGGTAGGTGGGGGTAGCTGGGGGCAGGGGGTAGGGGGGGGTAGGGGGGTACGGAGGGGCAGGGGGTAGGGAGAGGGTTGGGGGGGCGGGGGGAGGCCCTCGGGAGGCCTGTTTGGGGCCCCAGGGCCGCAGAGAAAAAAGAAAGAACGACTGAGGGAAGGGGTCGAGAGGTCCGGGGGCGCCCGACGACGCCAGGCCCACCCTCCTCCTTCGTCGCCGTTGCTTTTCCAGAGCTCCCAGAAAGCGCGTGCAACAAATGCGGCAAGGCTCCTCGAGAAGGCGCTATTCCCGTCGGCGCCGCGCGCGACATGTGCGCTCGCGTCGCGGGGAGCAGCGAGATCCACCGTCGTGCATTCCGGTGGCGTAAGAACCCGAGACTTCAGACTTCAGACGTGCTCGCGGCGACGACGACGTGGCATGTGCGCGACGACGTGTGTGATCGCGCATTCCGGCGGCATGCGAGCCCCAAGCCTACTCTGGTAGTCTGCCCTCCTCGCTCCTTATCCTCCTCCTCCTCCTCTTCCGCCTCTTCCTCCTCCAACTCCTCCTCCTCCTCTTCATCCTCCTCTTCCTCCTCCACTTCCTTTTTTCGAACCCCAAACAAAACCGCCGAAAACCGGACCGTCCCGCGACCACCGACCCCAACTGTCATAGGCAAAACCGGACCGACCTAAACTGGATCGGTGCCAAAACCAAACCACTGCAACCGAATCGGTTCGCCGCCGAACTGGCCCGAACCGGCCCAAACCAGACCCTCCCTGATGCTGTGCAATACCATGCTGCATGAACTATGGTAGCCCATGAAATGCAACACTACGCTGTTTGCTGTAGTTTGCTGTGGTATGCTATGCTATGCAATGCTGCACACCGGCTCGGCATCCACAATCTTATGTCATGCTGTGGCTAGCTATTGTGCACGATGGCGTGCCCGCTTTCCGCCAGGGCTCCTCTTCATGCATGCCGCACGCCCACCCTCCCGCTGCGAGCGCCGTGGGCACGCTGGAGCACCGCCTAGTAAAGGCCGAGATCCACCGCCTGCTGGAAACTGACCTCCTGGGGGGGGGGGTAGGGCACGCAGCGCCCCGGCGGGGTGCACTCTTGGAAGCCCAGCGAGGAGGCCCGGCGACGAAGAGAGGCGGTCGAAGAGGGGAGGGCTTCCTTACCCGCGCAAGCACTCCAGTTGCAGCTGACCTCAGTGAGCCACTCGATGCCTACCAGCGCGTACTCCAAACAATGAGATGTTGCACTGTGGGTGCGCGAGCCGTGTAGTGCGATGGGCGATACATGATCTACGTAATGTGAGCTGCGAAGCCATGCGGCGCAACATAGGTGGTGCAACCTCTGTGGTCCACGCCAGGCGGTGCAAGATATGTAGTGCAACTTTTGTGGCATGGGCTATGTGGTGTAAGCTGCTACGTGGTGCAACTGGCTTTTGTCAACTCAATCACCACACCCTCACATCCACAACTTGTTTAACAGAACCCATTCGGCAATTGTCGATTGGCACTTCCTAGTGCATCTCTGCGGCAACGCTGGCGCGCAAACGCTCGCGCGCAGGGCGACCAACTCGCGTTTCGAAGGCCGCGCTAACGCGCGGGCACTTCCGTGCGGGTTGGTGACTCGGGCGGGCACGGTACCAGGATGACGTTGACCACGGCGGCAGCGATGATGCTAATAGCCATGGTGGTGGCGATGACCACGGTGACGGTCGCAAGGCCAATGACGGCACCGGTGCTGGTGACGACGAAGGCGATGATGATATCCATGTGTCGATGATGATGGTGAATGTGCGGATGATGGTGGCAATGGCAGCGATTGGCGATGACGACGACGGCGGTGATGCGCTGGCGCTGATGTGGGTAATGGTGAGAAGCTGCGGGCGCAGGACTTCAACAAACATGGAGAACGTGTTAATTTGCACAATCGGTTTGCCTATGTTGATGAAGACCTCTATCTTGAAATGCGTCCAACACCAGTGGGTTTGGAAGGACGTCGGCACGCGCCGGTGGAGGCGCGCGCGCGTGTGGCCCGCATGGTATTCTGTGATACAGGTTCGTGCACTCAACGCAGATGCTCTGCGTGGTAGATTGCTGTACGATGACTTCAGCAAGAGCGCGCGGGCAGACATTCAGCATTGGTTGTTTTGGAAAACTACTGAGTGTATGGTCTTATGTTGAACTGCTTGCAGGGCGAATTTGTTTGGTATGGTTTCTACCTGTGCGCGATTGTGGGCTTGGTTCTACTGGCTGGGCTGATATGGTATGGCCTCACATGGAATATGAGCGATGCGTCAAAGTGACATGTAAATTGCCATGTCCCAGAGGTAATCGATCAGTCCAGGCTCGGGAGGGTGGGGGATTAATGTTTCTCTTGCAAGGCAAAACTATTTGGTGTGAGCTCTGTAGCATACGCACGGGGCGCCCACGAGGCGCCCACGGGCGGCAACGTGGCGAAACCCCAGCGGACACCACCAACGCACGGGGCGCCCACGAGGCGCCCACGGGCAGCAACGTGGCGAAACCCCAGCGGGCTCACCCAGCGCACGGGGCCCCCACGAGTCCCACGGGTGGCACCGTGACAAAACCCGGGCGGACCCACCCAGCGCATGGTGCGCCCACGAGGCGCCCACGTGGCGAAACCTCGGCGGACCCACCAGCCCAGCGCACGGGGCGCCCACAACGGGCCCACGAGGCGGCAACGTGGCGAGACCTCGGCGGACCCATATAAGCGCAAATGCTGCTTAGGGGGTGCAGAAAAGTGACCACCGTCCACCGCCACGTCGCATCCCTCGAGTATCGCAGGCTCAAGGAGGAGGAACGAGGGAAGGGAAGGAATAGAAGGGGTGGCGGTCGAAGAGGGGAGGCGGGACGGGAGGGGAGGGGAGGGGGCGGAGGGCCGAGTTCTGGTCGCAATTCTGGTCCGACGGCCCCGCACGCTGCACCAAGCGCGCATGCAGCTCCGCGCCTGCCGCTGGTGCAGTTCCGCGTGCACCTGCTCCCTGGTGCGCCCCAATGCTGGCACGCATTTGACGGTCCAGCGAGAGCGGCGCACCAACTCCGTGGTGCACCATCTCCGCTGTGCACCCCCAATGGGACCCGTTTGGTTGACGGTCCTGGGACTTATTGTTGGCGAAGCTGGGAACTGCCCAACACCGCCAGTCGTCTTTTTTCACGACGGGAGGGATCTGGCCCAGGGGTCGAAACTCGAGCCCCAGACTTGTTCTGGGATGCACTGAGGGAATCCACACGTCGCGACGAGGAGCCTCCAGGAGACCACCAATGACTCGATGCGGAGATCTCCATCTTATTTCCTGGCGTGTCCCGCTGTGAATGTCTGAGTGGGAACCCCTCAGCCTGTGGCGACTCAACGCTCCCTGCCGGCTCGCCCCCCTGGAGCGCCGAAACGCGATGCATGCTTACATCGGGAGGGCATCGGGGCTCTGAGAGGAGAGGGGCCGGAGGGGGGGCGAAGTCGGCGTTTCGCCGAAGACATCCCAACAGTGTGGCCGGGAACGGGCGATTCCCCTTGGGGTGCCCAAGTGCTCTGCATCCGAATCAGGATGGCCTGCGCGTGGTGAATGTGAGTGCGAATGAGTCTGAGCGCGAGCGGGTCTGAGCGTGTGACTCCGAACGCGGCTGAGTCTTGAGTAAGGGCGAGTCTGAATAGGGGGGAGCCTGTGTCAGCGGATCTGAGCGCGGGTGGTCTGCGTACGGATCGTCTTGGCACGGGTGGGTATGAGTGTGGGTCAATCTGATCGTGAAGGAGAAGTATGCGTGTGGTCTGCGCGCGTGACTCTGAGCATGAAAAATCTGAGCTTGCGTTTGTCTGAACGTGTGTAGAGGGAGCAAAGCGGGAAGGAAAGGGGTGGAGGGAAAAAGGCTGTGTGCGGACACCAAACGAGCGAACCGCTCGAGAAGCCCTCACAATCTCCGCGCGAACGGGCAAGTGTCCTACCCCCTGGGCGGCTCCTCATTGGGGTGTCCCTGTGCCCCGCCTGCCAGATCGTGGTGGCCATGGGGCTTTTCAAAAGCGAAGAGCCTGGAGAGGGGGGGAAGGGAAAAACACAACAAACCGCCTGAGACATCCCCACCCTTGCCGCGAACAGGCGGGTGTCATACCCCATGGCGGCTCCTCCTCGGGGTGCCCGAATGCAACGTCTGCTATAGGATGGCGGCCATGAGGCTCTCAAAAGAGAGGAGTCTGGAAGGGGGCCAAAAACAGCCTTCAGGCATCCCCACAATCTGCGCGTGAACGGGCAAGTGTCATACCTCCTGGCGGCTCCTCCTTTGGGTGTCCTAATGCAACGTCTGCTACATCGCGGTGGCCATGAGGCCCTCAAACAAGAGGGAATCTGTTTTTGGGGGGAAATGGGGGGGACAAAACACAGCAAACATCCTGAGACATCCCGCAATCTGCGCACAAACGGGAGACTGTCATACTCCCTAGCGGCCCCTCCTTGGGGTACCCAAGTGCCACGCTTGCTTCGCTGGGTGTGCGTTAGCCTGAGCATGCCCGAATCCGAATCTGACTACATTTGTGTGAGCGTGGTCTGAACATGATTGCCCCATGACGTGAGTGCGAGGCTGTGAGCGGGTTTAGATGACAGTGAGTCTCTGCGTGAACGTCTTTTAACAGAAAAAAGGGGATTATCAGACACAGGCCTCGCAAAACCGATGCTGCGTGAAACCGGCGGGATACACAAATACAGCTCCGGGACAGGTGCGGAGTTTCGGCTACGCCCGCAGGGCAGAGCGCGCGGGCTGCGCATAGGTGGAGCTTCGCGCAGCATGCCACGCTGTGCTGTGCGACACCATTCGACGCAGCACTCGACTGGACCAACGACGAGGGAGGATAGGGAAAGACGCAAGAAAACCAGACGGCGAATGATACGAATTAGCTCTGAAACGTATGAGGCCCGCGGCTGTAAATACACGGTGCTGCACTCTTATTACTGCACCCCTATTGCATGGCCCAAACGGCCACAACAATATATCAATAATAGCAGCAGACAAAAGAGAGCAATCTGAAGAAGAGGGGCCACAATTACACGGGACTCGCACGACCTCAGCCAATGCGACGAGCCATGCAATACCAATCGCACACCGCAAAAACAACGAAGAAAGCCGAGGAGGCGGGGCTCACGGATAGATGGACAAGCAGAGCACTTTGTAGAACAAGTACTTGAAGTGATAGCCACTCCCGAAGAAGAGGCGGGCACACATGCACCAGCCCATCCAATGGCCCGTCTGCGCAACGTCCCGCTCATGGGCGGTGCACCGAAAGGTGGCCAGGATGCGGCAGGATGAAGAGGTACATGTGGGTGTAAAGGACGTGTCCACGTGATGGGAAGTTGGTTGGGCCAGCGGCGTTTGCATGCAATGGAAAGGGCGTCAGCGGTTGGCCTGGTTTCACTGTGCTTCACCGACGTCGTACTCGCGCCAGTGCTGGTTGTCCTGCGCCTTCATCGTGGTCGTAGCTGTCAGTGGACTCGTCTTCTCCGCAGTGTTACAGTCGTCGTGCTATTCACTGCGGCGTTTGTATGCGTTTGTGACAAACGTCGCGCTCGTGCGACTGATGGTCAGGCAGTCCGACACTCGGAACAAAATCGCCTATGAGGCACTAGCCGCAATTTCTCTCCAATCCAACGGCGGCAACGGTAGCGGGAGTGGTAGTGGTAGCGGGGTGGAAATCCTGATTGTAATGGTTGTGGCCGTGGGAAGTGGCGTTCCACTTTGTCGTAGTGGCTGCGGGCAGACCGTCGGTCCCCGCCGCCCGCCGTGTAAACGTCACCACACTGGCGTCGGGGCTGGAATCGGAGTCGAAATCGGAGAGGTCGCTGGAGTCGGGGCTTCTCACTGTCGTGCTGCTGGCGTCCATTCGCCACTCCTGACCCTCATATAGCACTAGGCCAAAGCATCGTTGCACGCGCATGCGTGCTGCTGGTGCGGATGCTGGGGGGGGGGGTCGCCTGTCGTGCTGCTAACGTTCGTCGCGTTGGCACCACTCGTGCTGTTGGCAGAATCGGGGTCGAACACGGAGTCGGTGGAGGAGAAGGAGCTGTAGTCGGAGCGGGAGCGGTCGTATCCCTGTGGCGGCTGACCGACAACGCCATGGAACTCAACGTCGCCATGCCGCTGTGGTGGGAGTGGTAGCCATGCTTATGGATGTGATGCTACTTGTGGCCATGGTGTCGGTCTCTCAAGCTAGCGGCGTTCCATAGCTAACGTTCTGTATATGATCCCTTCGCCTCCTCATGTCTCTTTCGGAAACGCACACCTCTAGACACCCTGTACCCGGTAGGGGCCCTGACAAGAAACACGCGTTTCCAAACACCCTGTGCTCGGTGTGGGGCTGTACGCCACCATAGCCATGTCGGATGCAGGCTACGGCAGTGATCTTACCCTTTCGCCTTCCTCTGTCACTCTCGAAGCCGCACTTTCCCAGGCACCCTGTACCCGGTATGGGGCCCTGGCGAGAAACGCGCATTTCCAGACAGCGTGTGCCCGCTGCGGGGGTGTATGCCGCCATGGCCATTTCGGATGCAAGCTACGGCCGTGAAAAAACACATTATACTGTCGTCAACGAAACATCAGTTGATTTGGACGGTCGCACATGCGGTCGTCGTCGACGACGTGTCGCTGGCCACTCTCACACTCATCGAACTGGCTGTCCAAGTGGCTGTGACGACGATGTGGTCACCGAGGCCGTCGTAGTGGATGCCGTGCCAAGCTCGACCCCGGATGACGATGCGGTGATCGAGTCCGTCGTGGTAGAGGTCGTGGCCCTGCTCGGCTCCGCAATTCTGAATACCGACGTGGAGCTCGACTTCATTTTTACCCAGGCGGCGTACGCTTTCGCAAAGCCGGATGGCGGCGTGGTGCTTGAATCCGTCATGGTGGACGCCGTGGGAGTGTTCGAATATGTAGTGCTGGTCCCTACTGTGGTGTTTCGCTCCGTCGTGGCGGGCAGCATCGTAGTGCTCGCCTCGGTGGCGCTGGGGGGCCCAATGGACGGAGCCGGCGAACGCAGCAAAGTTTGGCTATCTATGTTTGACCATCGGGGGACAATGCCCGGCGGTCAGGCAGATATGGCTGTCGGCCCCACAACTGATGCCTGTCGGTGCCGTAGGAGCTCGATAGACACGCCGTGGTCGACACGGTCGTGCGGTCCATCGTGGTGGCGCCCGCTGCCACAACGATGCAAAGAAGCGCGGCAGAGCCCCCAAGTGAGATTCGTCGGTCGACAACCCTTCCATCTTGCATCCCGTGTGTTTTTTTTGTCAAGGCCTTGAATACAATGTGTATATAAGTGCCCTGGGATGCCAAGCGAATTCGGGGGGGGAAAGTCATTGCCTTGAGGGCCCTCTAGGTGCAGCTTTCCGTTCCCTACCAGCACCATGGCATCACTCAGCGGGCCAAGCTTCAAGAAATGTGGCACATCCTCGAGAGCATGTTCCGTGCCCTGAACTCTCAGGCAACCTCACACAGCTGTTCTGTAGGCGTCGGACGCACCACCTGATCCAAGAGCAATGCAATGAGCCAGTCGAAACAGATTCGCTTCCACAGCGGCTTCGCCCCAGCCCATTCTAGTCAAAAACTTTGCGCGAACCTCGATCGTCATCTTGCCTAGGGGGTCAAAGTCGCCTGCTGCAGAACAAGGAATTCGTATCATAACCTCCCTCGTCATCAGCAAGTCGTGGCCGATCTGGGGCGACGAGCCGTGAGCTGGGAAAACCAACTGGTCATCGCACTTGCGGTTCTCCCATACGGGCCGCCAACAAATTATCAGCATGAAATCCATACTGACCTGCCACCTCTGAGTTGTGCTCCTCGAGGGCATCGTAAGGGGAATGTGCGCGGTCACGGACCCCCCGTCGACATTCCAAAAATTCGATGAGGGAAACAAGATATTCGAGAGGTCATCTGGACGTTTGAGGAGATGTACCAAGGGCAACGCATTCAGGATGAAATCGATCGAACAAAATTCGTCCTTGTCGTCTTCGAAGTCATCTTCGTCGCCGGCGTCGGCCAAATCCCCAGCGCCAGGCATGGACCCGCCATCAACAGCTTCCTACGCAAGATCTGGCAACGGAAGGGCGTTCACACGGTGTTCCAACCCGCTCTCATGCATAGCTCTCGCACAAGTCGAAGCATGATTTCGAGACTCGGCTAGAACGCGTTCCAAATGAAGCCTATGAGCCGCGAGAAGGAGCGCTGGGCACAAATCTCCATCAAGTAGTGCGGATACCTTCTCGCCCGTGTCGTTGAGGTGGTACGCGCAGTCGCGCCCCTTGCCTTGAATCTGGACATCGGTCAGCGTATTCACTGTGCAGGGGCTGTCGAGGACACCGATCTGGCCAACGTCCCATACATTATGTGGCTCCTTGTCCACATACTCCGGAGCACCTGGGAACTCCTTTGGCCCCACTTTCCGCAACTGCCGCAAAGGAGCAGTCGCTCAGAGGCAAAACGTACCAGCAGTCTATGTCGCGACTAGAAGACCCACGTGAATTGGCAAAGGAATGTCGCGCCGTGGGCGCTTCGGCTGTGCGTCACCAGTCGGTGGCCTGCTTGCTCTCATGCTAGAGACACACTCGAGCCCAAATGGGAACGAATAGCGATGATTCTGGCGCAGTTTGTGATGATACAATCGGCGAGGCCCAGGACGCAACATGGGCCTCACAGGTCCACGCTTCCAAATCCAAGTATTCCAGCTGCGGAGGCCGTAGCGACGATGTGACGCAAGATTTGTGCGTCATCATCGGGGCATTCCTCGTCGCACTGCTCATGTTTTTGCTATTGCGAGCTCGACTGCGCATTTTCACGGCAGTGCGTGGCGACCCCTCGAAAGCCTCGCACGCGCTTAAGCTTCAGACCCAATACTTATCCGATATCCTGGGCCCTCACGGTTTAGACGTTCCAACATAGCACACATCTAGTAACGTCGCGAATCGGAAAAGAAAACGTGTTCACAAAATGGAAAGTCTCAATTATCAAGCACGCGGCATGTCGCCAGCCGATCAATGAATTTACCTGTGATCACACCATGAGCAGGATAACGACAAATAACCCACCCCAGGCATACACAAGCAAATGTCGGGTGAGTGGTGAATTTAGAAAGAGAAAGGGTGTGGAGACACGGTGGAAAAGGGCGTAGGGTATAATAGGAGTGGGAGGAGAAAGAGAAACAGGAACAGGAGGTCTGAAGAAAGGAGGACGGACGAGGGATGAGGATGAGCGACGAGGGGCACGAGGCTCGCCGATGCGTCTCGTTGCCGTGTGCAGATTATGTGGCTGGAAGACCGGGTCGGGCCGCCAACCAAACAGAACAGCCTGATTCTGGTTGGACCCCCTGAGAGCTGCACGCACCAACCTCCTCCTCCTCCTCCTCTTCCTTTGTGCGCTGGGCGGACTTAGGCAACGAAGCTCCACCTCCTCCTCCTCCTCCTCCGCCTCCTCCTCCCTCCTCCTCTTTCTCCTCTGGACTCCCCTTTCCCGCTTCCCCAGAGCAAATTTGATTGTCCTGGGCCCCGACGAAAGCTGCCCCCGAGGGCCGAAGCCGAAGAAGAAACGCCCGTAGAAAGCATCCGATCATCGGAAATATGAAGCTGCTTTAGTTGTTCAGACTCCAACACGCTCACCTGCATGGAGTCGGAAAAGGAGGGGGGCAAGCCGAAGCCCGGAAGAAATACTGGGGTCCACGCAAGCCGGGACTCACTTGCACGCCTTTTCGGCACAGCGCTGTTTGAAATGGCGGCTACGGGGGGGACTGCGGGGGAGAATACCATTCAAGGAAAATTGGCATAACCTAATTTTGGGGGGGCCAGCGTGGACCCCAACAGCAAGTTTCTGCGTTGGGGATGTGCCAGCTATGTGGGGCAAGCTATGTGGTATAAGCTATGTTGTGCAATATGTTTAGTCTAGCGTAAAGCCATGCGTTTGTAAAGCCATGCGTTTAGGCGGCCACGGGCGGCAACAGGGCAGCACCTCGGCGAATCCATTCGGTTCCCTGGGGACACGAGTGAGAACCCCTCAGTGCAAGCACTGCTTGGAGAATACAAGCTCGCTCTTTTAGGTACGCTCGGCCGCGGTGGAAGGTGGGCAGGCGGCCCGCCCCCGCCTTGAGCGTCGCCGGGGCTACCGCCCGCCCGGGCTGGCGGCCCTTCCACTCGCTGGCCCGCAGGTCGAGCACGTCCTGAAGCAGGCACCTCGTCGGGCCGCAAGGGTCGGAGGACGACGACGAGGACGCGAGCACAAGAGGGGGGAACAAGCGACGATGCGACAGGGGAGAGGACACCTACAGGGTACCTCAGGGGCTGCCAGGGCGGCGAGGCGCGCTGGGCTCACCCGCCCGTGCGCCGGGGTCCCTTCCTGCGCCCGGCTGGACACTGCGACGAGGACTGGGACTGGGGCAGCGTGCGCAGAGTCGCGCCCTGTGCGGGCTTCCGCGGGCCTCCCTCACAGCCACCGTCCGCCTTCTCTCATGACCCTTCCCGCGGTCTCTCGCATCCTACAGTCGGACCATGGCCGCAAGAACACGGGCCAAGAACGCGAGCCCCTTGGCCTGAGGCCCAAGGCCCCACGGAGATATCCAGCGTGAGGGGCGCTGCGAGGTGGAGAGCCCAGGCACGAACAACACGGTGGTGAACCTTCAGAGCCAGGGATTGCTCTCAAAAGCACGTGCAAGCTGTACACGGGGACGGGGCGGGGCGGCGAGCAGGCCGAGGAGCAGGCAGGGGGTACTGAGGAGGAGGGGGAGGAGGAGGAGGAAGAGGAGGAGGAGGAGGAGGAGGAGGAGGAGGAGGAGGAGGAGGAGGACAGGCGGTGCCCTGCACTTTTTTTTGGGGGGGGGCGACCCCAGAGGGGGCGGGAAGTGGAGGCGGGGGAGGTGGGTCGGGTCGTCCGGGCGGCGGCCACGGACGGCCGAGGAGAGGCACCCGCCACTCGAGGCTCGAGGCCGTCGGGCGCTCGGACCTCTGCGGGCGCTCGAAGCCCGAGGCCTGCAGGACCTCGGGCTCCGGGGGTCGAGGCTTCCTGGGGCTCCGCGGGGGTCGTATCGTCGACGTGGCACCATCCGCTTCGAAATTCTGGTCAGAATGTACAGTGCTCGTGCTAGATTACGGGACGCATAATGAGGAACGAAGGGGCTTCTCTGGCCACAGCGGGCCTGGGCTACAAACAGGTTCCACGATGTAAATCTAAGAAGCGGCCCCAAAGCAGTCCTTATTTCAGCGTCTTGAATGCCTCTGCAGAACACGTCCAGGGGTCGACTTCTGATCCCCGATCCTGACATCCTTGCGAACCGGGAAACATACAACACACAACGAGCCATTTTGGGCAGTGTTCGGCCTGCGGGGGCCCTTGCCAGGCCCAGGGGGCCGTCAGAAAACAGCCCAGGGCGACAAGCCGGGCCAGTGGAAGCGGTCCAGACCTCCAGGGGCCCATGTAGCGAAAAAGCACTACGCAGGTGGTCTGGGTCCGTTCGAAGTTCGAATCTGCTTCTGCACTTTTCGGCGGCTCCTGTGAGTCTGCCAGCCTCGAGGTGCTTTCTGGCAGCTGCGCCTCGCGGCGGCAGCGATCCAGGGAGTGGGGGCGAATGGGTTTTGGGTCTGGCCTCCTCGCGTCCACCGGGAGCGGCGCACTAGAAATCACTGCGAGAGGGTTACGCTCACGTGTTGGCGTCTGGATCGTATGTCGGGCCTCTCGTGGTCGTTCGGAACGACTTGGACACCCCCAGAACGCTCTCGGCCATGAGCACCCAAAGGTTAACTCTGGCGAAGGGTCGAGAACTCGGAGAGGCTACGCTGTGATCAAACTTTCTTGTGTCGGCGGTCAGCTCGAGGATCGAGTTCTGATAGGCGGTTCGGCCTTTGTGTGACCTCCAAGGGGGCCCTTTCATCAAACGCGCCTGGACTCCCCGTGGAATCCGGGCAAGAACGCAAACATCCGTATAGGTCAGGGAGCCGATGTCCGAGAAGGGCACGAAGGAGGGGGATGATGAGGAGGAGGACAAGCAGGAAGAAAAAGAGGATAACGACAGCGACGAATGAATGATTGAACGAGCAGCTCGTAGGTTCCGTGATCCAGAGCCCTTCGAAGCTGGAAGCAGCACTGCGGGGTTGCCAGCCGATTGCAGGCCAGAACCCCGAGTCGGGTGTCCTATACACCCCGCCCATGGGCATCAAGTCAGTGATCAGGCAGCACGCTCTGCTCGGGACGGCACTGGGAGGAGGGAGGCACCCATGTGAGCGGAACGCCGAGTCGGGTGTGCTAGCCCGCAGGCGATCCCCGCATCCACTGTCGAAGCCGAAGCCTGGGCTGAAGTGCACAGAAACATCGGAGATGGTCCACCCTGCAGCTTGGATTGACAACACATCGGTGAGCGGTGTTGCAGCCTCCCGTGTGCACGGGCCCCCCCAAGAATCAGCCAGACAAGCTGGGTCTGCACCCCCGTGCCTTGGGCACCGAGGAGCGTGAGGCACCGCAGTGGCACCAAGGGAGGGGGCACTCTCCCGAGTTGGCCGCGAGACCTGCGTGACGACCTCGGACCGCCGAGCGATGCACGGAGGGATGCCCTGCCAGCAAATGAACATTGCGGCTCGTGCTAGCCCAGACATCGGGCGCCTCGAGCAAAAACACGAGAAGCCCGGACTCCTCTGCAGCCTTAGCATCCAGAGACAGACGATTCGGGGTCCCGGGACCGTCACTCGGAATGAAGAACCGGTCACAATAAAGTGATCTAGAGGTCTGAGGACCAACGTCTGGACATTATCCGGGCGAGAGACCCAACCATATGCAGCTGCGCTGCGTCTATCGCGAGGCAGGTTGGATGGAGGAGGGAGGCCAGCAAAATGACTGCGGCATCCAGGATGCCCCTATCCTGGGCCTTTCGGTGGAGCTCCCGATAGGGCCACCCAACGTGTGAGGGGTATGCGAGTACGCCACGCGGACTGTGCCGCTGGGGTTTTCGCTGGAAATCCCTATTTGGCCGTCCACCCAACGTTTTATGGGGTGTGCCAAATCGTGCGCGGGTACGCCATGCAAGCTGTGCCACGAAGCGTTTGAGGGGTGTGCCAAATCGGGTGCTGTTACGCCCGGCGGACTCTGCCGCTGAGTTTTTCCTCTAGAGCTCTCGATAGGGCCACGATACGTGTGAGGGGTGTGCCGAACCATGTGCGGGTGCGCCATGCGGACTGTGCAACTGGGGCCTTCGGCACAGCTCCCTATGATGCCACAAAGCATGTGAGAGGCATGCCGAATCGGGTGCGGGTGCGCCATGCGGACAGTGCCTCGGGGGCCTTCGGTGGAGCCCCCTATGGAGCCACAAAGCATGTGAGAGGTATGCCAAATCGGGTTCGGGTGCGCCATGGACTGTGCCGCTGGGGCCTTCGGTGGAGCTCCTTATGGAGCCACGAGGCGTGTGAATGGTGTTCCGAATCGGGTGTGGGCACGTCATGCGGACTGTGCTGCTGTGGCCTTCGGTGGAGCTTCCTATGGGCAAGAACCGTGAGGGGTGTCCCGAATCGTGCGCGGATGCGCCATGCGGGCTGTGCCACAGGGGCCATGGGTGGAGCTCTCTGTAAGGCCACAAAGCCTGTGAGGGGTGTGCGGGCGGTTGCGCCATGAGGACCTTGCCGCTGGGCCCTTCGGTGAGCTCCCTATGGGGCCACGAAACGTGTGAGGAGAGTGCCGAATTGTGTGCGGGTGCGCCTTGGACTGTGTCACTGGGGCCTTCGGTGGAGCTCCGTATGGAGCAAAGAATCGTGTGAATGGTGTTCCGAACGAGGTGCGGGTACGTCATGCGGACTGTGAGCCACGAAGCGTGTCAATGGTGTGCCGAATCGGGTGCGGGTACGCCTTGCGGACTGTGCCATTGGGGCCTTCGGTGGAGCTCCCTATGGGGCCACAAAACGTGTGAAGGATGTGTTGGATCAAGTGCGGGTACGCCATGCGGACTGTGCCGCTGGGGCCTTCGGTGGAGCTTCCTTTGGGGCAACGACACATGCGAGGGATGTGCTGACATGGACGTGCGCGCAGTGACGGAGTGCAGAGTCACGGATGGTAGAAGGAAAGAGGGGGCAGCGGGAGGAGGAGTGAGATGCGGGGCGCTGTCTCGTCAAAACGAGGGCCCACCACAACAAGATTGTCAGGAATCATCGGGACGCCAGATGTCTGGGAGATGATCTTGACAGGCGTCCACAGCTGCCTGGCTCAAGGATTGCCTTGAAGGCGCCAAGCCGTAGAAAGCATGGCGACGTCACTGCACCTTTTACCTCCTCATCCGATGGGGGCCCGAGAATCGCATAGGCGGACGCTGAGTGAAGCATAGGGAAACAAACAATGGCATAATCATACAACCTCGGAGGTCTGCGCGGATTTCTCGGATCGGCCCTGCCCCCCCTCCCTAGCGAGCGGAGCGCGCAGGGGGCGGCGCCGGAGGAGCCGCCAAGGAGGGGGGCCCAGCACCGCTCCGAGAAATCCGCTCGGAACTCCGAGTTCTTCGGTCAATGCCAATGGCTGTTCCACTACAGGAGGAGGCAGGAGGCGCTGGAGGATGACGTGGCGACGAAGGCGGAGAGAAGCCCCCCAGGCGCCCCCCGCGCTCGGGAGGAGGGAGGGAGGAGTATGAGGAGGCTGCGAAGGGTGACGAGGAGACGAGGACGACTGCGAGGCGAGGGCTGGATTGCCGTGCGGGCGCGGGCTGCCGGCGCCAGGGAGGCGGCCTGCCAGGACAGGAGGGGCGCGTCCAGGCGGCTGCGAGGAGGAGGCAATGAGAGGCGCCAGAGGAAGCCCCGAGGAGGCCTGGAGGAGGAGGAGGAGGAGGAGGAGGAGGAGGAGGAGGATGGCAGCTGAAGACACTCCTGTGGGACACCTCCTGGATCTGCATGGAGGATCTTGGCGCTGCTGGTGAGTGCGAGCGAACATAAAGAGCACGCCTGAGGGACCCGCTTGGCCCACAACGGCTTGCTGAGGCCCTCTTCAGCTCACGGGCGTGGCGGAACCACGACCAGTAGAGGCACGCATGAACGTCCTCTCGTGCTGCGCAGTGCCGTGCCCGCCAGGCGCCGTGCGTGCTCGGCCTCGGCCAGGCTCCGCGTACCTTGTAGCTGGGCCAGCTTCGCGCACCGCGCCCGGCAAGTGCGCGGCCCCCTTCGCACCCCTCGTGGGGGGGCCCACCTCGGGGAAGGGCTGCCCTCCGCTCCTGGCCGCGGCGCGCAGCGCGCGACCACCCCAGCTTGGCGGCACGCGCACAAGAGGCTAAGGGGGACCGAAGCTGACAAGTTTTTCCGAGCCGCGCCCACATGCGTCGACGATCGGGGGCGGCCAAGAGGGGTGCGTCCAAGAGGGGGGGGTGCCCAAAGGGGCGCCGAGGACGTCTTGAAATAAGAAGAGGCGCCGTGAAATCTGGGGAGACATCATGGCCCCCGCCATGGCATACCCCCGCCCCCCCCCCCCCCTTCGCCCCCCGCCCCCGAGAGGAGGCTCCTGCCTCCCCTCCTCTGCAGGCCGGGACCAGTGCTCCGCCACTGCCCCCCGGCCGGCGCCGACGCCCTGCCGCTGTCTCCGGCCACCCTTGGCGGCGCGCTGGCAGCTTCTCGGAAGGAGGCTGCTTCCTTCGAGGGCGCCGGCCGTGCATCTACAGAGAAGGCGCGAGCCTGCTGAGAAGCAGGGGTGCTTCCAAGGAGCCTTCCCTTTGGACGCCCGAAATGGGTACTGAAAGAATGGGCACAATGCCCAACAACAATTCCTGTTCATTTTCAACAGGATTCGCTGTCCACGCCGCCGCAGCCTGTCCATTCGAGACAGAAGGCCGCCTGCCCAACAGCGGCCGCTGCTGGCTTGGGACAACATTTGTTGTTGGGCATGGTGCCCATTCTTTCCGTGCCCATCTCGGGTGTCCAAATTCCCCCTCCCCCTGCCCACCTCTGCGCGTTCCTGGCCAGCGCCCCTTGGGAGAGTGGGCTGAGAGATCCTTTAGGAAACAACTCCTGGGAGGTCTCTGCAAGAGCTCACGTAGTCGACGATGGACCCCATTTTATCCACCAGCCCTGGGCGGTCTTCGGCTGTCTTCGGCTGTCTTCGGCGGTCTTCGGAGGTCTTCGGCGGTTTTCTGGGAGTCTTCGGCGATCTTCGTGGGTTTCCAGCGGTTTCCGGTGCGAAAGCTGGATAGTTGCGGAAAACAAGGTGTTCATGACCGAAGACCTACAAGAACAACCAAGGACTCAGGGCTATCAAGCTGGATTAGGGGGCCAGCCGGACTCGGCCGGCGTAGGCCCGGGCTGAAGCCCGGTAGAAGTGGATGAAGCTGGACGAGACCGGACTAAACAGTACCAAGCGGAACTCAACGGAATTGAGCCGAGTTAGGCTTGTGTCCGACCACGGATATACCAACGCCGATGCTAAATTTGACCTCCCAGGAATTACCCGCAGCGCGTTGAAGCACGGGCGGGAGCATTCTGTTCGTCCCATGGCCCCTGTCCGAATCCAGCAGGACTGGGCGGCAGGGAGCGGTCCAGACCCGAGAGAAGAGAAAGAGAGAGAGAGAGAGGCTGCGCGTGCAAATGGGAGGGGACGGTCAGGGTGGGGGCCGCCCCGACTGGGAGCGGAGCGGAAGGGCTCTGTCTGCTTTCTCTCTCTTGGGGGCTCACGGCTGATGTGGGGATGGAGGGGTCTGCCCTCTGATTGGGGGTGGACGGGTGGCGGCGAGAGCTGAAGGTCACCTTCGGGAAGGTCTTCGCAAGAACAGCCAAAGGTTCATAAGCCGGTTTGAGGGGCCATGAGCCGGCTCGGCCCAGAATAGACCCAGAATCAAGGCGGGCTGGGCCGGATCAAGCGGGACTGGGCGGAATTCAGCGGGATTATGCTAGATCAGGCTTGTTGTCGACCACGGATGCACCAGTGCCGATGCTGAATTTACCCTCCGAGGAATGGTCCATCTTAGGGGAGGAACCGCCACCAACCGCACGTGCGAGCTCTAACCAGAAATCAGAAGACGGCGCTATCCGCACGGCGTGAACAAACTGTGCGAAAACCACGCTCGAACAGAAAATGACCACATTCTCCCCGCCGCAGGCGTTGGGAGGGGTGGGATGCGAAGAGGGTCCCTCGAGGTGCTTGCAAAGCTCTCTCCATCTCAGCTGTGGGACCAGAGACGCACCTGCTCTGGCGGCTGCCGCCCCTCCTCCTCTTCCTCATCTTCCTCCTCCTCCTCCTCCTCCTCCTCCTCCTCCTCTTCCTCTTCATCCTCCTCCTCCTCCTCATCATCATCGTCATCGTCATCGTCATCGTCATCGTCATCGTCATCGTCATCATCATCATCATCATCATCATCATCATCATCATCATCATCATCATCGTCATCGTCATCGTCATCGTCATCGTCATCGTCATCGTCATCGTCATCATCGTCATCATCTCATCATCACCATCATCACATCATATCATCATCATCATCATCATCATCATCATCATCATCATCATCATCATCATCATCATCATCATCATCATCATCATCATCATCATCATCATCATCATCATCATCATCATCATCATCATCATCATCCGCCGGCCCCCTCGGGAGACCGGCGAGCCTGATGCGCGGGGCACAGGAGGACTGCTTGGCAATCGACTGCAGCTGGACAAATATCGTATCGAGGCGCTGGTAGTGCGCCCAGTCCTGCCGAGGAACGGGGCGCTCTCACGGGCGCCTCCCGCGGGGAGAGGCCCCGCATGGACTCCGGGCCTCGCGGGCGTTCCACCCGTGGCGGGATGGGAACGCACGTGAGGAGAACAACGGTCGGCGGCCTGCGCGGAGTTCTCGGATCGGCGCCGGACCCCCCTCCCCCGGAGGCGCCGCCATTGGGGCCCCAGCGCCGATCTGCGAGGCACCGCGTGCCCGGTGCCCAAAAGGGCCCAGGCCCCAAACGCATGGGGCCGTGCCGCGCGCTCGTGGGCGCTGCCCATGGGAGCTCGCCAAGCGACCTCTCCACGGGCCCCGGGAGCGAGCCGCGGAGCCCCAAAAAGTTCTCCGGCGTGCTCTCGGATGGTCGCAGGGGCAGGTCCTGGGGCTCTTTTGGGGGGGGGGTCGGGGTCCAAGACGGCCCACGAGGCTCTCAAGATCGCCCCAGAACGACCCCACGAGCCCTCAAGCGGGGCATAAGAGGGCCCAGAGAGGGCCCAACAGGGGGCTGGAACTCCGAGGGGCTCCAGGAGCCTCCCCCAAGATGACCCTAGAGGCCGCCAGCAAGCCTCCAAGACGCCCCCCGGACGCCTCCAGAGGCCCCCAAGATGCCCCTGTAGGAGGCCTGGAGAGGCCTCCAAGATGCCTCCAAGAAGCACCCCTCGAGACCCCAAGAGGCCTCTTGTCAAAGACCCAGGCACGGTGATGGAAAGGGGCGATAGCCACTTGATGCCTTGCTATGCCCAAGCCGAAGCCTGCTTTCGACCGACCTGTGACAAACTCGCAAGTTGTATGTAAACATTCGACGGTGCGCTGACTAGCCTGACTTGGCTTGGATATAAGCCTCAGGATGTTGAACGATTGGATCTTGGGATCTTCTCCTGAATCCTGATGGGACCATTGGACCCCGATCCTGGACCTCGGATTCCAGGATCTACGGGGCCTAGGACCCATAGACCTCGGATAGTTTCATGCTTGGGGAGAGGAAGCGTCTCTGGAATGGCCAAACAAGTAGAAACAATGGTAGCAATCATACGAATATCCGACACCGTGCCGTACGCATTGAGTGGAGTGCCCTCAGGGCCCTTCGACATCTGTGTTGAATCCTTTGGAAACTCATTAAGCGGTCCAAACCTCAAATTCGCTGATTCCTTAAGGTTTCTCGCAGGACGTCCTGGGCTGGTCACATGGTTTTCCGAAGTGCGAAAGTGCACCCAAATGGGCCCAACAGGGCCCAAAGATGCCGCAGCAAAAACTGTCCAAGGGGTCCCCGAGTCGGCCTAAGAGCGCCCGAAGACGCCTCAGGCGCCCTTCAGACGGCCCAAGAAACCCACAAGACGCCCACTAGGGCCCCACGATGACCCGAAAGAGGGCCCAAAGAGATCGAACCTATCCCGGCGAAGGACCCAACCATATGCAGTTGTGGGTGCCGAGCTGTGGGTTCATAGTTCGACAGGTCCCCCTATGGGGCCACCAACTCGGGGTGGAATGGTTCCCTCTTGGCACGTATCCACGCTCGACAAGTTCCCGCTCCCCTCCCCCTCCTCCTCCTCCTCCTCCTCCTCCTCCTCCTCCTCCTCCTCCTCCTCCCCCTTCTTCGTCTTCTTCTTCTTCTCCTCCTCCTCCTCCTTCGGTGTGCCGCGGAGCTTCCTGTAGGTCCACGATCCTCGTGAGGGGTGTACAGGAATGGGCGCCGCGCCGCCATGCAACCCTTGCCACTGGAGCCTTCTGTGGAGCTCCCTACGGGGCCACGGTCCTCGTGAATGGTGTACCGAAATGGGTGCGGCGCCGCCATGCAACAACTGCAACTGGAGCCTTCTGTGGAGCTCCCTATGGGGCCACGATCCTTGTGAGTGGTGTGCCGACATGGGTGCGGCGCCGCCATGCAACCCCTGCCACTGGAGCCTTCTACGGAGCCACGATCCTCGTGAGGGGTGTGCCGAAATGGCTGCGGCGACGCCGTGCAAGCCCTGCCACTGGAGCCTTCTGTGGAGGCCCCCACGGGGCCACGGTCCTCGAGAAGGCTGTACCGAAATTGGTGTGACGCCGCCGTGCACCCCCTGCCACTCGAGCCTTCTGTGGAGCTTCCTATAGGACCATGATCCTCGTGAGGGATGTACCGACATGTGTAGGGTGCCGCCATGCACCCCCTGCCACTGGGGCCTGCTATGGAGGTCCCTACAGGGCCACAATCCTCGTGAGGGGTGTTCCGAAATGGGTGGGGCGCCGCCCTGCAGACCCCTTGCCACTAGAGCCTTCTACGGAGCTCCCTATGGGGCCACGGTCCTCGTGAATGGTGTACCCATCTGGGTGCGGCGCCGCCACGCAAACCTTGCCACTGGAGCCTTCTGCGGAGCTCCCTACGGGGCCAAGATCCTCGAGAGGGTTGTACAGAGATGGGTGCGGCGCCGCCGTGGAAGCCCTGCCACTGGAGCCTTCTGTGGAGCCCCCTACTGGGCCAACATCCTCGTGAGGGATGTTCCGAAATGGGTGAGCAGGAGGAGGTAAAGGAGGAGGAGGAGGAGGAAGGAAGGAAGGAAGGAAGCAAGGAAGGAGAAAGGAAGGAAAGAAGGAAGTAAGGAAGGGACGAATGAGGATGAGACGCGGGGACGGTCTCTTGGTCTCTTGAAAACGAGGACCCAACATGTGATTCCAAAACAAATCTGAAAACGATCTCAGCATTCTCGCCTCCTCGAACTTCCGACACTCCAAGACTGCTAAAGCGGTCGACCACAGCACACGAGGGCCCCAAGACGGCGCAGGAGGCGCCTGGAAGAGGGCCAAAGAAGGATCCAAGAGGGCCCCGAGAGGAGGACGACGCGGAGGAGGACGAGGAGGACGAGGAGGAGGAGGAGGAGGAGGAGGAAGAGGAGAAGGACGAGGAGGAGCAGGAGGAGGAGGAGGAGGAGGAGGAGGAGGAGGACGCATCCGCGCCGCGAGGCGCCACCGCAGCCACGTTTGATTCTGGGATCTTCCGGCGCGCTGATTCCACGCCCGGGGATCCAGGATTGCAGGCCAGCCCTCCACAGGGTGGAGGGGCACCCGCCCCAGCCCAGACCCGCGCCGGGAGGGAGCTCTCTAAGGACGACGTGCTCCCCGGTACCTGAGGGTGACGTTTCCAGGGCTCCCTTTACCTCACTTCGTTTCTCTCCTCCCTCCTCCCGCTCCTCCCTCCCTTCATAGAGGAAGGAAAGCTGCGTAAACATAAACTGACGACGCTCCGCGCGGATTTCTTGGATCGGCGCTAAGGCCCCCTGGCGGCGCCTCTGGCACCGCCCCTGGCGCGCTCCGCGCGCCAGGGAGGGGGCTCTAGCCCAGATCCAAAAATCCGCGCGGACCGTCGGAAGTGAAAATGAATGCTGTTGTTTGTTCTTCTACTTCAGCCTCGCTTGCCTGATCCACCCACCCCCCCCCTTCCTCCTGCCAAGCACCGTCCTGTCTAGAGGGCCCCAAGGGTGCTTTACAGTGCGAGGTCTCCCTCCCTCTCCTCCCGCTCCTCCCGCACCTGCCTCCCTTCAGCCTCCTCCCTCCCTCCTGCGCCTCCCTCCCGTCAGCCTCGCTTGCCTCCCCCCCCCTCCCACCGCCCTGTTCAGCGGGTCCCCGGGGTGCTTCACAGAGCGAGGCCTCCCTCGTATGCCTCTGCGTCGGGCGGCGCCGCTGCTTCTGGCCCACCTCGGACCGACCAACGCCTGCACCCGCAACGGGATACAGTCGGATTCGATCGGGGAGGACACCCGAGAGGGCACAAGACTCTTGCGACAGCAACGTGGCCCCAGAACACCAAACGACATGCGGGTTGCGAAGGTCGGGAGAGACAGGACACAAGGGCACCCTCGGTTTGGCATGGTCGACCTACCTATCAGGTCCGACTGTAAACTGCAGTGAAAAGTGCCCTCCGTCTTCCATCTTCCTCTTCTCCTCCTCAGGGACGGCAACCGATGGTCATGTGGATCGCTGACTTCACGCAGGGGTATCGTCTTGTGAAGTCGCAGCTTGTCCCGGAAGCGTTTTCCTGATATTTTCCCATGCGTGTGCCGCAAGACTTTCCGCAGCTCCTCCGCAGCGCTTCCTGGGCTCCTTAGCAACTTCTTTCTCGAGCTAGCAAGCTCCCAAGACATCCTTTAAACCGTTCTTGCAAGCGTCTCCCACACGGGTGTCGAGAGCGCCTGATGTCGTGTTGGACTGCTCTGCTATCCGGTTTTAGACACAACAAGTAATCTTGCAAAATGGCAGCGATTCTAGTAATCCCAGAGGACGGGATGGCTGGGTGTGGCAAGAGATAGTCGGGCCAGCTGTTGAACACAATTGCCAAGTTGGTAGGAAACTCGGGAAAGATCCCATACCTTCTGGCCTACAAGGCGGATGGCTTTTGCATACGCAGGTCCATGAAGGTCCGGGATCTGGCTTTACGATAGTCGAATGGAGCAAACGATATGGACTCGCTTTGGCTGTGGACGGGCACTTGCCAAGGTGCTGATACTGAGGAAAGGTGCACGGCGTCCTTTGCTCACACCGCCCAGTTCACTGGGGCGTCGCACCTTGCTCCATAGCGGGGACGGGGAGGTGGGTGAGCAGGACAGCCCAATGGGGAGGCGCGATCGACGTTAGGGGTGGCAAGCATTCTGACGATCGCCTTCTGGGCCAGAACATCACCCGATAGAGGGCCAGCTGGGTCGCGAGTCTCGACGATTTGGGAACTCTCGGCTGGCTCTATAGTTCAGCAGGGCTGGCCACAAGACACCTCACAACAAACATGCGACGTCTTGATGTTTTCAATGCGCGGTCTCCAGAAGTCGCGAACCTGTGCCGAGGGCCCGTTTCTCGTCCCGAGTCGTCTCTTGACGGCCTCGAGGCCTGGCAAAGGCCCTCGGAGGCCGAAAACTATCAAAGACCGTCCACAGACAAGGCGCTGACTTTTGCCAGATGCGAGCGCAGAGCCCGGGCGCAGACTGCCAGCCTCCCTCGCCTCACTGGCGCCGCCGCTTCGAGGCCGGCGGCGGTTCAGACGACGTGGCATTGATGAGAAAGTCTACCACCATGGGCCGGCGGTGCGCTCAGGGGAGAAGGGGGAGGAGGCAGGCCTGCTCGGGAAGCGGCGGGGCTTCTCTCAAAAGCACTCGGGGCTTCTGAGAAGCCGTCGATACGCGGCTTCGGAGAAGGCTTACAAACATTGTCACAAAGGCCGGAGGCATTCTGGACCCTCCGAGAAGGCCCGCCCCCCTCCCCAGACATACGACGTCTCGCGCTTCCAAAACAGGGTCTCCAGAAGCCCCGAGCCTTTTCCCAAGGCCCGTTCGTCATACCGAATCGTCCTTTGACAGCCACAAGGCCCGGCGAGGGTCCCTAGAGACCGCGAACGGCCAAAAATCTCCCGTCAAGCCTGCTTCATTACGCGAGCATGTCTGGGTCTGCTTGTGGCTTTCGGGCCACAGCTCCGCTCCAGCGGCCGTTCGGGACGATCGGGGCACCCTCGGAACGCTCTCGGCGAGGCACAGCTGCTGGAAAGCAGCCCGAGGCTGGAAGACATCCTCGAACCGACGAAGACGCCCGAGAACTCCCAGAAACGCCCGAGACTGCCTTCACCCCTGGGCGCGCTGCCGATTGGCACGTGGTCTGTGGGATGCCCTGCGTTCGGCATCCTCTGAGGGGCAACGATAAGTGGGGGGCCAGCTCAGGGTGAGGAGCATAGAACGGCGATCGGCTCCCGATGGCGAATCGGGGGCGGGGTGGGATATCGGGCCGTATACGCCATGAATGTGCGATTGGGGGTCGATGCATCCCCCCCTGAGCCTACGGTCAGAAACTTCCAAGGGTCGCGGCGGCGGCCTGGCGACACGCTATACGTGTCGCTCCGATTCGTGGGAGGGGAGGCTGGGAAAGGCTCGGGACGTTGACGCTTGGGGACCAGGTCGTGGATAATGTGTCGGTCCGAAGCGCGGTGGGCCAAAACCGACGGTGCCACACGCTGAACCAAGGTTCCTGACCGTATCTCGGGGGCGTCCAAAAGGGGGGTGTCCAGGATAGGGTGCACATATCACCCCCCTCTCTTTGGGGAAACCAGAAAATACCGATACCGCTGCTCCCTGGACCTCTCCCAAGGTGCGTTCTCGGGACGAAAAGCCAGCGGTGGCGACGAAGGCCTCCCGGGAGGCCCAAACAAGGTAAAACAAACCAAGGGCAGTGGCATCGATGACCCTCCCCTCCCCTGACCGTCACCACCCCCCTCTTGGGCGCCACCGAGCGCATCCCCCCCCAAATCTGCCCCTGACATCCTCTCCGGGACCGCGAGCACGTCGTCGCTGGCTGGCGGCCGGAGCGCGCGCACTGGGGCGAGCAGGGCGCCACGGGTGAATATGTAGTCGAACACGCCCCGCACGTCGCGGTCCGCCCAGCCACCCCAGCTGGTTCGGAGGAGGGCCAGTCGAGCCGACGGCGGCCCTCCCTGTGCTTTTCCGTAGTCTGAGCCTGTCGGTGGCCCGGTGCGGAGCGGACGCAAAGCCCCAGAACTGCCCGCGTCGTGGCAAAAATCACGACGGGATTCGTTTTGCCGTTTTCGGCCTCCGGGGGCACTCGCGAGGCCTCGGGATAATCAGAAGACGACTCGGGATGAAGAACCGGCCTTTGGGAAAGGGGCGGGACTTCCAGGAACCGCGCATTGAACAACTTAAGATGTCGCATGTCTGGATCTGTGCTACCAGTTAACGGCGGCCCTCCCTGCCGCTGTTCGTATTTTTGGGGCCTCCTGTAGGCTTTGCGTCGCCACGGTCCGATCCGCCTCAAAAACTTCCCAGGATGGGCCCCACGGGGGGACCGATCTCGAGCGGATGTTGGCCGGGCGGGAAACCCGCCATGGTCTCAAGCGGTCCTCCTCCGTCTGGTGAAGTCCGGCTCTTCGCCAAGCACTGCCTCCCGATGAACAAGGAACGGCGCAAACATCAGCTTTCAGAGCTCCGCGCGGATCCACTTGGATCCGCACGGAGCTCCGAAGGCTGATGCCTGCTCAGTGCTATGTGTATATATGTGTATATATATACACATATATGAATGTGCGCATGTGTGCGAGTGGTGTTAAGACATGTTCCAGCTTGCAAGCGCCTGCTACTGTCTATGAGTGTCCCTACTTGCGCCTAGTAGCGTCTATTATCGCATCGTCTCGGAGGACAGGCGGGGGGCCAGCGAAGCTGAGAGATATCACAGCAAGGCGCGCAGCCACGCCACGAAGCGGCTATATATATATGTTTCCTTCCCTTTTTCCGCCAGAGCTCTGTGATGATGCAAGAAAAGCCGATTCGCCTGCGATGAGAATGCCGAGGCCCGGCCCGCCGTGCTTCGCGGCGGCCGGTAGCTGGATTCGTCCAGCTCACAGAGTCCCAGAATATTTGACGACAGTGCTGGTTGGAGCGCTGGAGGCAGCAAGCAGGGTGGACCGCGGGTGGGCCCAGAAAAGTTCGAGCCCTAACGAGTACGGAGGAGGAAAGCGTACAGACTGCAGAAACAAGTGATGCAAGCTACTTCTAAGCTGTTACATTGAAATGCCACTGCGTTCATTAGAGTGGTGCGAGAGGACGCGCAAACAGCGCTGGAAAAACAGGCGGGGGGAAAATTCTGTACAAATTGGTTTGTACAGAATTTCCCCCCTTGAGCTTTTTCCCTAGAAGACCGCTCTGTAAACAGATGTCACACTCACAGCTCAGAGGGCCCTTGGATCATCCTGCAGGTGGCGTTCTTTGCAGTACCGCGTGGCGTCTTTTCACGTCAGCATAAGTGTGCACGCACAAGAAATGCTTCCTTCCCTTTTTCCGCCAGAGCTCTGTGATGATGCAAGAAAAGCCGATTCGCCTGCGATGAGAATGCCGAGGCCCGGCCCGCCGTGCTTCGCGGCGGCCGGTAGCTGGATTCGTCCAGCTCACAGAGTCCCATACCCACAAACAGTAGTGTACTGGACAGCGTTGCTGGCCACAGGTCGGCGGCGATTCTGCTGTGGCGCCAAGCCCGCAAAAGGGGCGACAGACCTCCTATCGCTGTCTGCGAGAGCGCCTCGGCCCAGGTGTCGATGTAAATGACCTCGAAGCCCAAGACTCAACCAACGCTGGCAAAGCAGTCGCCGCCCGCTCGACGTAGGCGCGCACGGCGGCTGGAAGCCTCTGCATCTCCTGTTGCACCCGCGCGCTGGCCTCGTATCTCTTGACAGACTTGGCGCTCGCCCAGCGACCCCTCCGCCACACCTCCTTCACGCTTCGGGTCTTCGTCAGGCGGTCATGGCTGGGTCCGCCGTGGCGCAGCTGGTACTGCACGTACCTCTGCCTGGCGGGGAGCCCGATGCCGACGAGGGCGAGGTTCCACAGCCTCAGCAGCTCCGCCGGCGAGATGTCGAAAAGCTTCTCGCCCTCGCGGTCCTTCGCCAGCGCGGCCAACGCTGCGCCGAGGCCTGGGAGGTACGGCGCGTCCAACAGCAAGCTCTCGTCGCTCAGGCCGACCTTCGACTCGTCGCCGCGCCCAGCCGGGTGCAGGTTGAGGGCCCACCACTGGCTGGACCCCGCAGGGGCCGCCAGATCCTCGCCCCGCAGCGCATGAAGGTCTGCTGGCCGGAGGTAGGCGGTGAACATCGCGATCCAGGCGAGGCGCGCGATCTTGCTGCCCAAGGCCTCGTACACGTACAGCGCCAGGCCGCAGACCACTTCCCAAGGCACTGGGGGGGTCGTCACGCCGGGGTCGAGATGGCGCGCCCCCCTCATGGCCCGCGCGAACCTTGGGAGCCGGAGCCGGCCCCATGGCGAGAGGTCGACAAGGTGCCACACGACCGCCGCGTACGCCTTCCAGATGTCCGCGACCTCGAACCCCTCCATGAACAAGAAGTCCGCGAAGTCCACCATGGCTGAGTCTGCATTCTGCACGGTGTCCAGCGTGTACGCCCCCATCGACTGCACGAAATCCTGGAGATCCTTCCACCAGCTCTCGTAGAGCGCCAGCGTCCGCTCCGTGACAGCGTGCGACTCCAACATGGAAAGCTGGTCGCTGGTCTCTCTCGGTTGGAACGGGGGCAATACCCGCGCCCGCTTCTCGCGTCGCTCCTCCCGGGTCTCCCCCGAGACCAGGGGGCGGGCCGTTCCGCGGGGGCAGCGTGGTAGCCCGCCTCGTGGCCACCTGGCTGGCTGGCCGCGCTGGCGGCTGCGCCCTGCGGAGGCCCCTGTGGACCGCGGGGCCCGCCCCCTGGCTGCGCTGCGTCAGCGCCAAGGCCGGGCGGCTTCGGCGGCCGGCGCCAGGCGGGGCCCTCGCGGCGCCCTCGGCAGGCCGGAGCCGGCGCTGTTCTCTGCCATCGCCGCGACGGTGCATCTGCCGCGTTCCTCTCGGACGGCACCCACCGGAAGTACCAGCTCGAACCAGTGGCAATGGCGAAGGCAGAGGCTCGACGAACAAGAGTGAGGATCGCATAGCTGTGAGCCCTGGATCTCTCGAAAGCCACAGTGTTCCCCAGCTGGTCCCCCAGAAGCAAATGTCGTTTGCCAAAAGCCCCTGCATGGCGAAGCTTGCACCTCATCCCCAGCAGCGTGGCCCGGCCCTCCTTCGTCGGCACCCCCTCCTCCCGATGAAGCCTCGTCGACAAAATGACGTGCCACTTGGATTGGTCAGTGATGCCTTCCGGTACCTCTTGGAAGTTATTGTTTCCCTCGAGCATCTCCAACTCGCCCCCGGGGCCCATGGGGATCACGGTATCGAGGTCCCTGAAGGGGTCCCGTGGCCCCATGGCATTGCGACGAGGTTGATGGAGAGGATGCTTTCCCCGATATCTCCAACGCTCTGATATGCAACCGATCTTCGCGACCTCCTGCACTGGAATCACGCGACTAGCAACGCCAATCCCGCTCTCGCAGGCGTCAGTGCAAAGGACCTCAGGGTGCCATTCGCGGGACAGCTCGGCCGCGCAGAGGTAAGTGAGCACCCTCACCCACCTCGCCTCCTTCCTGACAGAGGCCCAAGGCTCGGCCCACTGCCCGCCGACCTTCTCCACGAAGTCGTAGCAGCTCCTGAGGCGCGACAAACCTTCCCGCATGATGAGGAAGTGATCCACGACATGGCCGAGCCACCGCCTGACCATGCGACCAGTCACTCGACGGCAGCCTTCTAAATGCCGGCACGCCCGCTGCAGGCGAGCCGCCCGCTCCGGCTTGTTCATGACCAGCCAGCGGGCGCCGTCCAGCTTCCGGCCCAGGCTCTCGCGGTCGGTCGAAGCGTCGGTCTCCTCGTGAACCCTGAGGCCGACGCGGCGAAGCTGGCCCACTACCAAATTCTTGGCCTGCTGCACCTCCTCGCGACTTACGCCGTACACGTTGAGGTTGTCGCAGTACGGCAAAACGCCCACCCCGCCCAGGATGTCAGGGAGTGGCCCGGCGTCGCGGAGCTGCCCGTGGGGCCGCCCCTGGAGGGCCACTGAAATCTGGTTCTCCAAAGCCTTCTGCCCCAGGAAGAACGCCCAGGACCATCCCATTGGGACGGTGACAGCCCTCGGCCACACTTCCCGAAGGCCGGAGCGGCGCGCCATTGACAGCAGCTCCTCGGCCCCGGGCCAATCTACGAAGCCCCTCTCAAACTCCTCCAAGGTCAGCGAGGGGTAGCAGAAGTAATCCTTGAGCTCGGCGGAGTTCTCGAGGCTGTGGAAATAATCCTTGACGTCGGCCCCGGCGAAGTATAGGTCATGGTCGCCAGCGGGCCGCTCGACGCGGGCCCAGGCCGCGCCCGTCCCCATATCGAGGCTGGGCGCTGGGCGGAAGTGCAAGTTCGACCACCTGCAATCCAGGATGAGCCGAAGATTCTTGTTCTTCTTCTCGACGAAGAACGGTGTGCATATCTCCTTTGGGGTGACAGAGAAGTCCACCAGCCCAGCACCCAGGACGTCTGCGATGAAGCCAACGTAAGCTGAACGATCTTTGCGCAGCACCTCGTCCATGTAGAGCTGTTGAGGCGTACCTGACTCCATCTGCCATCCAACGTCATCTGGGTCTGACAGCATGAATTCATCCGACCGCTCCAACAAAGTCCTCTCCGGCCTCCCGCACGCGGCACTGAGCGGCACTGGGGACGCACCAGCTACGGGTATGGATACCAGAGAGCGTTGGTAAGGTCTGACGGCAGTGACTGATCGACTCCCGCGTAGTCGATCACAGTGGGCATGAGCTCATTGAAGGCCCCGTGCCTGGTGTACAAGGATTCGTTGTATGGCAGCTGCCCCACCCTCCGGAGGACGGAGCTCTGAGACGTAAGCTGGGCGAGACTCGGACTGGCCGTGGCCGAAGCCCCAGGAGCCGCGCCGGCCATCTCATTCAAAACTTCGAGGACTTCATTTGCCCTCTCCTGGACTCCCGCACGTCGCAGTAGTCGCCGACGAAGGTAACCAGGCGTGCCCGGGCGGATAGCTGGCTCCGCTGGCACAGGTGGAAGGGGAAAAAGTTCCCGAGGCCGATGTCGTCGCCCATCGTGACGAGCCCCCACATGACTCGGGAATGAATTCTGATGCAGCGCCTGCTTGTCGGGACGGGTCGGCGCTCTCCCGCCCCCGAGGCCAGCCATAGACTTAGCCATTTCCGTTGTCGTCGTTATTCTTCCTGTTTGGGTTCTGCTTGCGCAGGCGCTGCTCCTCCTTGGCCTTCCTCATCTCCTTGGCCACGGCTGCCTCCCCGCGAACCTGCTCGGCCACGTGGCTCCGCAGACCTGGGTCCGGGACGGCCCCGGACCGCCTGGTCGACCAGCCCATGTAGTGGTCCGCCGCGCTGTAATCAGCGATGCCGCCAGAGGCGTGCGCGTCCTCGATCAGCTGGAGACGCCGGCTGATCAGCTCCGCCGACTTCAACGCCGGCGCGTTCAACTGGTCGACCGTGCACATCGCCTCCATGATGTGGGAGAGCGCCTCG